TGGTTTTTAGTCAGTAAGAGTCTGACACTCCCTCCCGCCTCACCCAGGCGGGAGCAGTCATTCGATGATTTTCCCCCCTTAAAAAAAAATGCCGTTCCCGTAGAATTTTCAGGACTTTTTTCTGTCATAAGAACCTTCTCCTGACAATAATAAACACAACAAAATAAAATTAGTCTAATCGGTCTAGCCGTTCTCAAGTTATGGCGTGACAACGGGAAACGGGTTTCATTTTTATATATATATAGATTGAGGTAACTACTTACATTGTTTAGGTTTTATAATTGTCGAAGTCAAAGTCAAAGTCAAAATCATTTATTTCGATAAAGACTCAATAGTTTTGAACGTTAATAAAAAATTAAAAGTGAAGCTATTTGCTCATTCCAAGGCGTAGATTCCTATGGAAAAGAACGAGCACGAAACTCCATAGGTTACTCTTTTTCAATCAGTTTCATAATACAATTTTTCGTGATGTATTATAGCCTATAATGGACTATCCTTAGAAACCAACAAACAAATTATTATTCAATTCGAATCATTAGTTCTGGAGATTAGCTCGTTCAAGCAAACAAACTCGTCAGTTTTATAACTAACTATAAAAATATATACTAAAAGATTTTTTTAAGACTTCTCCCGCTTGGGTGAGACGGGAGGGAGTGTCAGACTCTTACTGACTAAAAACCACCCCGTTCCTCCTTCTGCCCTTCGAGCCGGAGCCCCGGCAACCCGTTAAGTCCTCCACGACTCCGTATCGGCATATTTATTTAAGTATACAGTTTTGTTTTATATACAGATGCCATTTTAACGTTTTCAGTGTCAACATGTGTTTTAGCCCAACGGCGCTACCGAAAGAAACCGTGTCGGTAAGTTGATTATTAAATTCGTTTTGTAGTTGATGGAATAGGACGAAAATAATATGTAATTAATGGATTAAATTGATAAACTGAGATTTAATCATTATAACGACACATAGTTCAAACAGCTGACACAAGATGGAGTAATACAAAGAGTATAGTTTTTTTTAAGGGCGGAAAATCATCGAATAACTTTTCCCGCTTGGGTGAGGCGGGAGGGACTGTCAGAGTCTTACTGACTAAAAACCACCCCGTTCCTTCTCCTGCACTTCGAGCCGGGGCCCCGGTAACCCGTTAGGTTCTCCGCGACTTCAAATCGGCATCAGCCCTATTGGGTCCCATCCGTGGTGGTCTGATCGCTCTTTGAGACGCGCTCGGCACGCGACGCTCCGTTCGCTCGGGTACGTCATTTGACTTGATTTGAGTCTGACACTCCCTCTCGCCTCACCGAAGCGGGAGCAGTCATTCGATGATTTTCCCCCCTTAAAAAAACCGCTCCCACTCCTAAACTTTGGTTCGTTTTGTCGGTAGTTTACCTGGTTATGTCTTTTTTTTTATGGCCGGTAATCGAGCAGACGGATCAAAGTCAAAGTCAAAATCATTTATTTCGATAAAGACTCAATAGTTTTGAACGTTAATAAAAATTAAAAGTGAAGCTATTTGCTCATTCCAAGGTGTAGATTCCTATGGAAAAGAACGAGCACGAAACTCCATAGGTTACTCTTTTTCAATCAGTTTCATAATACAATTTTTCGTGATGTATTATAGCCTATAATGGACTATCCTTAGAAACCAACAAACAAATTATTATTCAATTCGAATCATTAGTTCTGGAGATTAGCTCGTTCAAGCAAACAAACTCGTCAGTTTTATAACTAACTATAAAAATATATACTAAAAGATTTTTTTAAGACTTCTCCCGCTTGGGTGAGACGGGAGGGAGTGTCAGACTCTTACTGACTAAAAACCACCCCGTTCCTCCTTCTGCCCTTCGAGCCGGAGCCCCGGCAACCCGTTAAGTCCTCCACGACTCCGTATCGGCATATTTATTTAAGTATACAGTTTTGTTTTATATACAGATGCCATTTTAACGTTTTCAGTGTCAACATGTGTTTTAGCCCAACGGCGCTACCGAAAGAAACCGTGTCGGTAAGTTGATTATTAAATTCGTTTTGTAGTTGATGGAATAGGACGAAAATAATATGTAATTAATGGATTAAATTGATAAACTGAGATTTAATCATTATAACGACACATAGTTCAAACAGCTGACACAAGATGGAGTAATACAAAGAGTATAGTTTTTTTTAAGGGCGGAAAATCATCGAATAACTTTTCCCGCTTGGGTGAGGCGGGAGGGAGTGTCAGACTCTTACTGACTAAAAACCACCCCGTTCCTTCTCCTGCACTTCGAGCCGGGGCCCCGGTAACCCGTTAGGTTCTCCGCGACTCCAAATCGGCATCAGCCCTATTGGGTCCCATCCGTGGTGGTCTGATCGCTCTTTGAGACGCGCTCGGCACGCGACGCTCCGTTCGCTCGGGTACGTCATTTGACTTGATTTGAGTCTGACACTCCCTCTCGCCTCACCCAGGCGGGAGCAGTCATTCGATGATTTTCCCCCCTTAAAAAAACCGCTCCCACTCCTAAACTTTGGTTCGTTTTGTCGGTAGTTTACCTGGTTATGTCTTTTTTTTTATGGCCGGTAATCGAGCAGACGGATCAAAGTCAAAGTCAAAATCATTTATTTCGATAAAGACTCAATAGTTTTGAACGTTAATAAAAATTAAAAGTGAAGCTATTTGCTCATTCCAAGGTGTAGATTCCTATGGAAAAGAACGAGCACGAAACTCCATAGGTTACTCTTTTTCAATCAGTTTCATAATACAATTTTTCGTGATGTATTATAGCCTATAATGGACTATCCTTAGAAACCAACAAACAAATTATTATTCAATTCGAATCATTAGTTCTGGAGATTAGCTCGTTCAAGCAAACAAACTCGTCAGTTTTATAACTAACTATAAAAATATATACTAAAAGATTTTTTTAAGACTTCTCCCGCTTGGGTGAGACGGGAGGGAGTGTCAGACTCTTACTGACTAAAAACCACCCCGTTCCTCCTTCTGCCCTTCGAGCCGGAGCCCCGGCAACCCGTTAAGTCCTCCACGACTCCGTATCGGCATATTTATTTAAGTATACAGTTTTGTTTTATATACAGATGCCATTTTAACGTTTTCAGTGTCAACATGTGTTTTAGCCCAACGGCGCTACCGAAAGAAACCGTGTCGGTAAGTTGATTATTAAATTCGTTTTGTAGTTGATGGAATAGGACGAAAATAATATGTAATTAATGGATTAAATTGATAAACTGAGATTTAATCATTATAACGACACATAGTTCAAACAGCTGACACAAGATGGAGTAATACAAAGAGTATAGTTTTTTTTAAGGGCGGAAAATCATCGAATAACTTTTCCCGCTTGGGTGAGGCGGGAGGGAGTGTCAGACTCTTACTGACTAAAAACCACCCCGTTCCTTCTCCTGCACTTCGAGCCGGGGCCCCGGTAACCCGTTAGGTTCTCCGCGACTCCAAATCGGCATCAGCCCTATTGGGTCCCATCCGTGGTGGTCTGATCGCTCTTTGAGACGCGCTCGGCACGCGACGCTCCGTTCGCTCGGGTACGTCATTTGACTTGATTTGAGTCTGACACTCCCTCTCGCCTCACCCAGGCGGGAGCAGTCATTCGATGATTTTCCCCCCTTAAAAAAACCGCTCCCACTCCTAAACTTTGGTTCGTTTTGTCGGTAGTTTACCTGGTTATGTCTTTTTTTTTATGGCCGGTAATCGAGCAGACGGATCAAAGTCAAAGTCAAAATCATTTATTTCGATAAAGACTCAATAGTTTTGAACGTTAATAAAAATTAAAAGTGAAGCTATTTGCTCATTCCAAGGTGTAGATTCCTATGGAAAAGAACGAGCACGAAACTCCATAGGTTACTCTTTTTCAATCAGTTTCATAATACAATTTTTCGTGATGTATTATAGCCTATAATGGACTATCCTTAGAAACCAACAAACAAATTATTATTCAATTCGAATCATTAGTTCTGGAGATTAGCTCGTTCAAGCAAACAAACTCGTCAGTTTTATAACTAACTATAAAAATATATACTAAAAGATTTTTTTAAGACTTCTCCCGCTTGGGTGAGACGGGAGGGAGTGTCAGACTCTTACTGACTAAAAACCACCCCGTTCCTCCTTCTGCCCTTCGAGCCGGAGCCCCGGCAACCCGTTAAGTCCTCCACGACTCCGTATCGGCATATTTATTTAAGTATACAGTTTTGTTTTATATACAGATGCCATTTTAACGTTTTCAGTGTCAACATGTGTTTTAGCCCAACGGCGCTACCGAAAGAAACCGTGTCGGTAAGTTGATTATTAAATTCGTTTTGTAGTTGATGGAATAGGACGAAAATAATATGTAATTAATGGATTAAATTGATAAACTGAGATTTAATCATTATAACGACACATAGTTCAAACAGCTGACACAAGATGGAGTAATACAAAGAGTATAGTTTTTTTTAAGGGCGGAAAATCATCGAATAACTTTTCCCGCTTGGGTGAGGCGGGAGGGACTGTCAGAGTCTTACTGACTAAAAACCACCCCGTTCCTTCTCCTGCACTTCGAGCCGGGGCCCCGGTAACCCGTTAGGTTCTCCGCGACTTCAAATCGGCATCAGCCCTATTGGGTCCCATCCGTGGTGGTCTGATCGCTCTTTGAGACGCGCTCGGCACGCGACGCTCCGTTCGCTCGGGTACGTCATTTGACTTGATTTGAGTCTGACACTCCCTCTCGCCTCACCGAAGCGGGAGCAGTCATTCGATGATTTTCCCCCCTTAAAAAAACCGCTCCCACTCCTAAACTTTGGTTCGTTTTGTCGGTAGTTTACCTGGTTATGTCTTTTTTTTTATGGCCGGTAATCGAGCAGACGGATCAAAGTCAAAGTCAAAATCATTTATTTCGATAAAGACTCAATAGTTTTGAACGTTAATAAAAATTAAAAGTGAAGCTATTTGCTCATTCCAAGGTGTAGATTCCTATGGAAAAGAACGAGCACGAAACTCCATAGGTTACTCTTTTTCAATCAGTTTCATAATACAATTTTTCGTGATGTATTATAGCCTATAATGGACTATCCTTAGAAACCAACAAACAAATTATTATTCAATTCGAATCATTAGTTCTGGAGATTAGCTCGTTCAAGCAAACAAACTCGTCAGTTTTATAACTAACTATAAAAATATATACTAAAAGATTTTTTTAAGACTTCTCCCGCTTGGGTGAGACGGGAGGGAGTGTCAGACTCTTACTGACTAAAAACCACCCCGTTCCTCCTTCTGCCCTTCGAGCCGGAGCCCCGGCAACCCGTTAAGTCCTCCACGACTCCGTATCGGCATATTTATTTAAGTATACAGTTTTGTTTTATATACAGATGCCATTTTAACGTTTTCAGTGTCAACATGTGTTTTAGCCCAACGGCGCTACCGAAAGAAACCGTGTCGGTAAGTTGATTATTAAATTCGTTTTGTAGTTGATGGAATAGGACGAAAATAATATGTAATTAATGGATTAAATTGATAAACTGAGATTTAATCATTATAACGACACATAGTTCAAACAGCTGACACAAGATGGAGTAATACAAAGAGTATAGTTTTTTTTAAGGGCGGAAAATCATCGAATAACTTTTCCCGCTTGGGTGAGGCGGGAGGGACTGTCAGAGTCTTACTGACTAAAAACCACCCCGTTCCTTCTCCTGCACTTCGAGCCGGGGCCCCGGTAACCCGTTAGGTTCTCCGCGACTCCAAATCGGCATCAGCCCTATTGGGTCCCATCCGTGGTGGTCTGATCGCTCTTTGAGACGCGCTCGGCACGCGACGCTCCGTTCGCTCGGGTACGTCATTTGACTTGATTTGAGTCTGACACTCCCTCTCGCCTCACCGAAGCGGGAGCAGTCATTCGATGATTTTCCCCCCTTAAAAAAACCGCTCCCACTCCTAAACTTTGGTTCGTTTTGTCGGTAGTTTACCTGGTTATGTCTTTTTTTTTATGGCCGGTAATCGAGCAGACGGATCACCTGACGGTAAGCAATCGGCGTCGCCCATGAACACCTAGAACATGTTATAAAAAAAAATCCAGCTAAGTATTGTTTTCTTATAAGTACGACTAAATAAAAAAATATACGTGTCTAACATATTTTTATTACCTAACTGACGGACTAATTACATTTTTAATGGTATTTCATACTCCGTCATCATCCCTATTGTATTGTTTCAGTAAAGATGAGTTTCGCTGTAAAAATGGCGTGTGTGTACCGCTGACCAGCCAGTGTGACGGTAAAGCAGACTGTCGCGATGGAAGCGATGAGACGTTTCCTCTCTGCAGGAATAATACGTAAGTTATATTTCTCAATTTTAAGTCCCAAATCCTCCAAAACCGCTGGCAACGGATTTGTAACTCCTCGACCTCGAGTGTAGCGGTCTCTGGGCAGTGCCGATTGCTTACCATCAGGTTTTTTAAGCCGGTAAACGAGCAGACGGTTCACCTGATGGTAAGCAATCGTCGTCACCCATGGACACTTGAACATCTGAGGCGTTACAAGTGCGTTACCGACTTTCTGGGGTTTAGGAATTTAAGGATCGTTGGCGATTCAGAGATTGGGGAGATTGGGGAAGTGGAGGGAGGTAATTGGGCCTCCGGTAACCTCACTAACACGACGAAACACAACGCAAACGTTCTTCACGCTTCACGTCGGTTTTCTGCTCGACTGTGCTATGACTCCGGTCGAGCCGGCCCATTCGTGCCGGAGCATGGCTCTCTTACACTTGCCTTGCTCTCCCAGCAGGTGATACGAATGCTCGTTTACCGGGCTATACCATAAGATGTTTTTTGTCCAATATAGATGTGAAATCGACCAGTTCCGCTGCACTTACGGCGCGTGTATCAAGCTGTCGCTTCGATGTGATGATAAACAGGATTGTGTCGACAACTCCGATGAGCTTGTTCCGCTCTGCAGGAATGATTTCACCGATTTCCACATGTAAGTTAACCATAACATCATCATCATATCAGCCACAGGACATACACTGCTGAACATAGGCCTCCCCAAAGACTTCCAGATAGTCCGGTTGGAAGCGACCTCCATCCAGCGGTTCCCTGCGACCTTAATGAGGTCGTCTGTCCACCTTGCGGATGGACGTCCTACGCTGCGGTTGCCGGTACGTGGCCTCCACTCGATACACTATAACATACCCAATACTTATGACCGTGCATTCGTCACATATACCTCAAAGTCCGAACACAAAAGTCCTCAAGAGTACGTCCTATCAGTAATGGCTTACGGAGTCAAGACGTGGATACTGAGGATGCGACTGGTCCTCTAATTAAAGGTCGTACAGCGAGCTATGGAGAGGGCTATGCTCGAAGTCTCTTTGAAGGATCGAATTCAAAACGAAGTGATCTTACAGACAACCAAAGTTTTTATAATATCTATCGTGTGACATACTGCACTTGGCAGCACGGTTGGTGCGGTGGCTGGGCAACCGGATGGCGTGCAACGTGTGGTGGGTTCGATTCCCGCACGGAACAACACATTGTGTGATCCATAAATTGTTGTTTCGGGTCTGGGTGTCATGTGTATGTAGAGATGGGATTTTACCCGGAAAAAACCCGAATATGGGAAAAAACCGGGAAAAAACCAGGGGAAAATTCCCGAATGGGAAAATATTCGGGTTTTTTCATATTTAACACATGTAACAAATAAGTAATGTGTAGATTATGTACATATCATATAGTACGTACTATTTAAGAACTATTAATAAAATTTAGAGCTAATCTAACTTTGTTTATGTTCATATTGCAGTAATAACGTTCTTAATATCCTTAGGCACCTACTATTAAATGAAATAAAATAAAATTAAACAAAAATCCTGTCTGTTTGTGTGATCCTCCGCTCTTAGCGACAGGTAACCCGAAAATACGTGAGCGGGTAGAGGGGCAGGGAAGCAGGTAGTAGAGGGGCGAGCGCGTTGGTGATCTATCTATCTCACACATTGTTTCGGCTTCATACTGTGCGCACTCGTGTTAATTTGTTGGTTTAATTGACGACTTGGATTTTGTTTGGTGGACTTTTGGTTACCTAATCCTTTGAATTGACAACAACTTTACTTTCTTACGGACTTTGATACCTACTTTTTTTACGAACGAAATTTACCGGTAAATTTACAGTTTTGTAACTTTTGTAAAGTATAATAAATGATTGTTAGTAAGAGTATCTCTCGTTGTTTTAATTATATTATTTTAGTCAAACATTCTTTAAAGTTTAATAGGTATTTTTTCTGCTGTTAACATTCCATCACAGAGCGCAGTAAAAACTTATTATAAAACAAGAAGACGTCTTTATGGTGTTATAATAAATATGCTGGTTATGTTTTAGTCCTTGAAATAGACTACACATTTTAACGTTTCAAATAACAGACAACAGCTAGTGCCTTATACACGCTGGTGCTAAGTACTACTCTGTCAAGAAAGTACCGGGAAAAGATCAATAATACAAAAAATGTCTGTTATTCATCCAAATTTATTTTATCACCTTTAAACTGTCACCGGTGACCGCAACCTATTGTTCTTTAATTGTCTGTAATGACGGTACTCAACGAGTTAAAGTATGCTCCTTTAGAGACGATACACTTGCGCCAACGAATAATCTATTCATCAAAACATTTTTTAAACGCTGCTTCCAGAATTGAGTTTAGTTCTCGCCGCGAATTCTCCTTTACGTCTTCTATCGATTGAAAACGGGTGCCACGAAGTGGTAATTTGAGTTTAGGAAAAAGAAAAAAGTCAGCAGGAGCCATATCTGGTGAATATGGTGGTTGCTGGATGGTATTTGTTGAGTGTTTGGTCAAAAATTCGTTCACCTTGATGCCACCAATGATAGCCTTGTGCGAAGGCGCTTTCTCGTGGTGCAAAATCCAAGAATTTTCTTTCCACAAATCTGGCCTTTTTCGTAGAATTTGCTCTCTTCAACGCCGCATAAAGCTCAAATAATATTCTTTATTTACCGTTAGACCTTCCGGTAAGAATTCAGAGTGCACAACAGCGCGATAGTCAAAGAAAACAGTCAACATGACTTTGACTTTTGATCGACTTTGGCGTGGTTTTTTCGGTTTCGGTTCAGTTGGAAGGCGCCACTCCGAAGCTTGTTGACTAGTTTGCATGCCAAACTCATAAACCCACGTCTCGTCACCAGTAACAATGCGTTTCATGAATGTTGGGTCCAAACTGACTCGTTCTAGCATATCCTCAGCGACTTTCATGCGATTGAGATTTTGGAGAAAATTTAGATCTTTTGGAACTAGTCGAGCAGCAACATGTTTCATACCCTTTAATGTATAGTATAGATTAGTTAAAATGGTACGGATCGACTCGTGAGATACAGAAAGTTCGGCGGCTATCTCTCTCAGAGTTAAATGGGGATTTTCAGTCACTATTTCCTTCACTTTTGCGATGTTAACTACAGTTGCAGACCAGAGCGAGGCAAATCTTCCATCACATCTCGACCGCTTTTGAACGCTTTGAACCACTCATAAGCACGAGTTTTTGATAAAGTCGATTCACCGTAAGCTTTTTGTAACATTTTTAGTGACTCCGAACACGAAATTCCATTGGCGATGCAAAATTTAAGACAAACTCTTTGATCGATATTTGTGTCCATTATGAAATTCACAATTATTATAGAAACCAGCGCTCTATTTAATATAAATAACAGATGCAACTCAAACTCCGCGCCAAAATGGAAAACAGTTGTGCCAATCTAACAACTACATAAAAACAAAAATTTGAATTTGGAACCATAAACAAATCATCCATTCCCGATACTTTTTTGAGTGAATGTAGGTATATGCGCATCACAAAGTACCTATTTATTTAGTTCTCAAAATAAAAATAGAATAAGATCATTATAAATGAAAATACCCGCCTATTGGGTTTTTTCCCACATAAAAACCGGGTTTTTTCCCAGTGCCCATCTCTATGTGTATGTGAACTTGTATGTTTGTAAACGCACCCACGACACAGGAGATAATCCTAGTGTGGGGCAATATTTTTTTTAAAAGAATGAAAAAAAAAACATAGGTACTAAATTAACTAAAAATAGTAGAGCTTTTCTCAGTATATTCACGTGAGTAGCCCGCGATTTTTAGTTAAGAACCAAATTTATCGACATAGCCCAAAGGATGAGTAAACTGAAGTAGCAGTGGGCCGGTCACATTTGTCGAAGAACCGATAACCGTTGGGGTGTGCCATTGGAGGGGCCTATGTCCAGTAGTGGACGAACACGTGCTGATGATGATGTTGATAGCCATTACATTACCATACATACATAACCTCACCCTGTTGCATTCGCTTGCCGCACACGGTAATCGAACCGACTAAAATCTGTAAAAGTTGCATCCTGTACATTTATTGCATCAATTTTTAGGGTCAATAAGGATGAAATCTCTCTAGCAAACTTCATAAATTTAATGAAAGGAAAACAATGAACGATCGATGCAATAAAATACAAACATTGATAGTTTTTTTTTATTGAA